GTGTTTGTGTGTGTGTGTGTGTGTGAATTTTTGGCACAAAAACCCGAATATCGCGTTAAATCCAGCACGGGTCACCACGCATTTTACACAGCAAAGCTTCGTTAAACAAAACTTGTCGCAGAGTATCTCAAAACAGAAAAAATCGGGCGGTGATTGTTTCATAAAAATCCGGTCATTCTCCCGCGTCAAAATACGAACGGGACTTCTTGACACGCCTTGCCCCCCCCCCCCAACAGAACCCCCGGCAGTATGTCCACGCCCTTGGGAGATGAGAAGTGTCTGGGGGGGGGAGTCACGCCATGTAGATGCATGAGATGTTAAAGATAGAAAACTTAAAAATTAAAAGGATAGAATGCATCTTCTATGTACAAATGCTCTCTCTCTCTTTTCTCTCTCTCTCTCTCTCTCTCTCTCTTCTCCTCTCTCTCTCTCTCTCTCTCTCTCTCTCTCCTTCTCTCTCTTCTCTCTTCTCTCTCTCCTCTCTCTCTCTCTCTCTTCTTCTTCTCTTCTCTCTCCTCTCTCTCTCTCCTCTCTCTCTCTCTCTCTCTCTCTCTCTCCTTCTCCTCTCTCTCTCTCTCTTCTTCTCTTCCTCTTCTCTCTCTCCTTCTCCTCTCTCTCTCCTCTCTCTCTCCTCTCTCCTCTCTCCCTCTCTCTCTTTCTCTCTCTCTCTCTCTCTCCTCTCTCTCTTCTCTCTCTCTTCTCTCTCTCTCTCTCTCCTCTCTTTCTCTTCTCTCTCTTCCTCTCTCTCCCTCTCTTCTCTCTCTCTCTCCTTCTCTCTCTCTCTCTCTCTCTCTCCTCTCTCTCTCTTCTCTTCTTCTCTTCTTTCTCTTCTCTTCTCTCTCTCTCTCTCTCTCTCTCTCTCTCTCTCTCTCTCTCTCTCTCTCTCTCTCTCTCTCTCTCTCTCTCTCTCTCCTCTTCTCTCTCTCTCTTCTCTTCTCTCTCTTCTTTCTTCTCTCTCTCTCTCTCTCTCTTCTCTCTCTCTCTCTCTCTCTCTCTCCTCTCTCTTCTCTCTCTCTCTCTCTCTCTCTCTCTCTCTCTGTCTATCTCTATTCTCTATCTCTCTATCTATCTATCTATCTATCTATCTATCTATCTCTCTCTCCCTCTCTTCGTCTTCCAAATGCTAAGTGCAAAAATGAATAATAAAAGAAAAAATACGCATAGAAAGACACACAAATATTTCCGTGCTGAAGAGAGATGTCATAATGGTGATAAAGATGGTGATAAGGGCGGTGGCGATGATAGCCGTTATAGAGCGATAGTGTTGAAGGTAATGCTGACCTGGATGATAGTGATGGTGATAGTGATGATGATGATGATGATAGTGATGATGATGTAGAAGATGAAGATGATGATGGTGATGATGATGAGAATGAAGATGGTGATGATGATGCTGATAGTGATTCCGAAAATATGTATTACAACAACGGTGATGATAGTAATGTGGTGATAATGAAGATGATGTTGATAGTGATAGTGATGATAATGATAAAGATGATGATGAGGATAATAATGAATATAGGGATAAAAATGACAATGATGATCATGGTGATGAGAAAATAATGACATACTTGTGATGAAGAAATAATGATAAATATGGTAATGACAATGAAGATGAAGATCATGTGTGAATAACGAAAATGATTAAGATATATAGATTATAAAAAAAACAGCGATAAGGTGACTGAAAATCCTGATTAAATTAATATTACGATCTAAAGATCAAATTATGTAATAACAAGAAAAACTGATATTGTGATGTATTTCTGGCCTAACAACAGTGATGTCGGTGAAGAGATTGATAATGATGACTGGGTTAGTGATAAATACTTTAATTTCCGCCCAAAAAAACAAAAAAACAAAATGGCGGCTCTTCCGTGGGTATATCGTCGACTTGCCGACACTCGACCGCAGAAGCCAGCGACCGGACAGGCGAAGAATGTTGCAAAAGGAAAATTCCAGACGCCAGTTGCGGATTTCAGCCAGAGCAGCAACACACGAGGCTGACTTTTGCGACTGAGGCTGCGAAAACGAGGTTCCCTTTGAACACTTGCCACGGGACCCACATTTTGGATGTCAAAAAGGAATTAAAAATTCGTGAGTAAATAGTAAGTTGATTTTTCCGGGTTTTGAAGGTTCAGAAAACTAGGTTCTCTTTGAAAATTGTAACCGGACACACCTTTTAAACGTCAACAAGTGCTTAAAAAATTCGTGGAGTAAATAGTAATAGACGAAGTTGATTTTCGCGGGTTTTGAAGGTTCAGAAAACGAGGTTCCCTTTGGACATTTGTAACCGGACCCAGATTTTATGTCAATTGCTTAAAAAAATTCGCAAGTAAATAGATGAAGTTGAATTTTGCGGGTTTTGAAGGCTCAGAAAAGTAGGTTCCCTTTGAAAATTGTAACCGGACACACTTTTTAAATGTCAACAAGTGCTTAAAAATTCGTGACTAAATAGTAATAGATGATTTTTACGGATTTTGAGGGTTCAGATATCTAG